GGAACGATGCGTAACATATATTCTTCTCTTTTTATAGCAAATGGGGATTGACCTATGATGGAGTAACTTCAATTTTTTTCTTCAGGAGAAGGCTGTTTTAAAGAAGTTAATGTTTCGCCTAAATGCACCAACTCCTTATGTTTTCATGCTACGGTTTCTCAGGGCCTCCCAAGCAGACAAAAAGGTAAACATGGGAATTCCACAATGATCTCTTGATTTTCTTCACTCAGTCTCTAAGATTTTCTTCAAACGGAAATTGAATTCCTTCTGCCAGTTTGGACATCTAGCATTTTTCTTGGTCGAGTTGTGCTTGGTTGAAGATGAAGCTCTGAACTACAAACCTTCTCTGATATGTGCATCGGCTATCTACGTCGCACGGTGTACATTGCACATGACCACAACCTGGACGCCCATGCTTGAGAGTCACGCACGCTATGAAGAATCTCAACTTAGGTATATATATATCTCTGAAAGTATTGGCATTCATTTTGCTTTTGTTTTTTGTTTTGATCTAATCCATGTCTTGAGCAGCAGACATTTGATGCTTCTTGGTATATATGTTTCAATGACCACAGTGATTGTGCAGAGATGATCTTGAGATTTCATAAAGCTGCAAGAACGTCTCGTCTGAGTGTCACATTTGAGAAATATATGAGGTCTGCGTACAGCAAAGTGGCAGCTATAAACCCCTTGAAAAAATTACCGCAATGATAATTGTCAAGTCTGCTGCACACGTAATTAGACTAAAAATCCAGACGGTGTTTATCCTTCTTTAGAGTATGTAATCACATTGTAGTGAATGTAAGCACAACTTATTTGAACTTTCTTAGGTTTAGGATTAAGCATTGCACGTGAACATTATTATTTTTCAAATTAGATGACAGTGAAATTCAAACTCTTAGTATTTAGGTCAACCAGGCACGCATAACATCTCATAAAATTCAAATTTACTGGTAGTTCATGACCCAAATCGGGTACAATGTCGACATCAACAGCTGTGGATACCAGTGCTTAAATCATTATAGCGGCAAAGGCACGCCCGGGTTCAAACAAACGGGGATCAATACCAGTATGATATCAGTATTTTTTTTAAATAGAAGACCGTGGCATGCATGCAACAACATTTGGAGGGATGGGCACAAGGTTAGATTTTCTCATAATTTATGACCAAATCAAGAAGAAAAAAATCAAAATAAGACAAATAATTTGTGCGATAAAAGAGTACATGTATCATGTATGGTGACATCTTGGGTGCAAGGTGCATAACAATTTTGTGGATCTTCTCACACAAAAAAATTCTTTTTTATTTTAATTTTTTAGTTTTTTAAAATACTTATCTAAGTACTATGGAATTGCTTATTTGAATAAAAATCAGTCTAAATAGGACTAAAACATAGTAAAAGTAACGAAATAGAGTTTCATGTTTTTATTTTTTTGCAATAGAAATTCACACTGTGGTAATGTGGGGTACTGTACATGTGTACATTACTATACTTTTTAATAATGTACATATGATCATGATTGGTCATGTAAATATATTTTAACTCCTATTTCGGGAATAAAAACATAGAACTTCTATTTTGATATATTTTCAATATTTCTCTTATTTTGGTTTTTTCTCTCTTATTTGAATTATATGTAAGCCCAAAATAGAAGAGTAAATCCCCAAAATGGCACTAAATAATTATGTGTTTTTCCAAATTAGTCCCTAATATGAACTAATTACAGAAATAGTACTCGTAAATTGAAAATAATACCCACTTTAGTCTCCTCTACTAACCGCCATCAAAATGGAGTCAAAGCGCTATTAAAACTTATACTTATTCTCTAAAATTATCATTTCTAATCAAATTTTTTCCCCAAATTAGTCAATTTTTGAAATAAGATATCGCAAAAAATGGTCTCCTTTGTGATGGTTCAGGTGAGAATGCACATTTGTCAAGGAAATAAAAATAAAATCTAGCCTTTGGATCGGATGCATCGTGCGGCTCAGATTGCATCTTGCACTCAGAATTTGATATAGTGCATTTTCAAAAGATTTTAGTGCATTTCGACCTGACGCATTTTTAAATCATTTTAGTGCACCTAATTTTGATGTAATCTTGACCCTTAGATCTCACAATCTGATGCACCAGATTCATTCTTATTTCTTTCAAATCTTATTTCTAAAGTCCTTGTGCTTTCAAAATGCTGCACGCATACCTCCCTGATCTTTTTCCTGCGAAGAAGGGAGGCATTATTGCATATTTACTAAACAACAGGGGGTATCTGTGCTGATATTTATTTCTCGCTTATTTTTTGTTTTTTTTCATTATTAGTTTCATATATTAATAAAGGTTTTTTTAAAATTATTTTTATATTGTTCATAAAATTTAAAGTTATTTTTATTTGAATAAAATTAACATATAATGTATGTGTACGTTTCAATCAACAATTTTTGTTTTTTCTGAAAAAATTAAACTTTTTTTAGAATTTCAAAAAAAATGAGGAAGGTTTTTGAAAATAGAGGGGTATACTAAAATAGGACTTCCATGTTTTTATTCTCGAAATAAGACTTAGGGGCTGTTTGGCAACTTCTGAATAGGTAAGTGCTGAACCAGTAAGAGGTCTGAACCATTAAGTGCTGAATCAGTAAGAGGTCTTAACCATTAAGAGCTTGTATATTGCTTAACTATTCAGAGACAAATGTATGATCAATTCAGATAAGAGGTCTTAACCATTCAGAGGCAAATCTCTTAACCATTCAGACATCTGAACCATTAAGAGGCTGAAACAAACAGTCTGAACTATTAAGTGCTGAACCATTCAGACATCTGAACCATTAAGAGGCTGAAACAAACAGCCCCTTACATTACCAAACATGGTCATATACATTACTAAAAAGTATAGTAATGTGTATATGTATACTGCCACATTACCACAGTGCAAAATCCTGTTTGAGAAAAAAAATATGAATATCCTATTTTAAACTTTTGCTATGTTTTAGTACTCTTTTTGGGGTAATTTGATTTGTTATGCACTTTTGCACTTATGCCTCTCTCATCGATAGCATTAGGGTGCCCCCGTTCTTGAATGAGCCAAAAAAGAAAGAAAAAAAGAGTAATCCTTACACCTTAGCCTTAGCTATGGCGACTGGTATCGTGACTCGATCTCGGCTCACCACGGCCATTAGCGCGGTCTTCACTCGTTCACACTCCTCTCTTGTTTCGTCTCCCAGTTCGCTCTTCCTCCGCCACCGTCCCCTTGTGTCAATCTCCGGCGGCATCAGCCGTCAATACCCTGCGGTGTCCGGTTCGGTTGCAGGGCTCGATACTGGACAGGTGGTTGGAAGGTAAGACCTCTCCAATTTTGCTTTATTCCTTTTGCATATTTTTAGTGTTCCAAACAGAAATGAAACTATATATATGCCAGGGTAGGGAGGGGGGCCGGTGGGGGGCAACGGTGGGGCTGGGGTGGGGGGTTTAGGGGGAGGATAAGGAGGGGTAGGAACAGCACCTTAGGTAC